TTGGGATTCACAGGCATGAACCACCATACCTGGCTAACAAATTAAACATGTGGGAATTTACTTTCTACTACTTATTTTGTCTACTGTCAAATAATGATTACAGTAGTTAAAACTGAAATTTATTTTCAAAACTAAATTACTGTTTTTACTTTTCACTTCTTGGACATGTGTAAGTGCAACTAATTTTGGTAATAGTTGCTTAATGATATCAATAATTCAACTGGTATGATGAAATGTAAATATTTCTTACGAGCATTACTGAAAAATAAGTGAGAGATAATACACAGCCTGCCAATATGAACAAACAGCTATAGCTCTATCAGCAAACTGTGTTCCAAAATAAACTATGACAGGCTTAGATATGCCTGAGTGTTGTAATATTGATGCAATAGCCATGCTATTAAGAACCAAATCCTATTAAAATCAATTTGTAAAACTCATAATCCTTTAATTCAGATAATCTGTTCTGCATTAATTTGATAGCTGAAATCCTATGAAACCCTCATTATCAAATTTAGTTTCGTTGAGGAAAGGGGATATCAGGCAAATAGAGGTTAAAGCCTAATAACATTGTCTAAAGGTCTCTGCTTAAAATTTTAAGTTTTTAAGATTTATGGCATTGTACTTTTCACAATTTATGAAACAAATAAGCTTTTATTTCTTCACATATTTTTCTAGCCCAGCAACCTCTGTTCCCCAAACTCTCTTTGGGACTCCAATTACACATACACTAGGTAAAGTTGTCCTATAGCTCAGAGATGCCAGTTTCATATTTAAAGTTTTTTCTGCTTCACTTTGGATAGTTTCTATTGATATGTCCTCAAATATACTAATTTCTTCTTCTGCAATATTTAATATGCTGTTACGCAAACCAGGGTAATCTTCATGTCATAATCATAGTTTTCGTTTCAGGAAATTTGACTTAGATTTTTTTTATCTTTCATGTTTCTACTTAACTGTTTGAACATAAGGAACACAGCTACAAGAATCTAAATGTCCTGGGTCAGTTCTAATGGATTATTCTGGTCATTATAGATCATGCTTTCTGACATTTTTGAATTCCTAGTAATCTTCACTAATATGCCAGACATGATGCTAGTTATTTTTATATTTTACAAATATTCTTGAGCTTTGTTATGAGATGTGTTTGGTAACAGTTTGATGCTTTCAAGTCTTGGTCTTATGGTTTGTTAGGCAAGTTGAGAGCAAAGCTCAGTCAACAGTTGTTACTCCCCTCTGTTGAGGCAAGATTTTCTTTCTTTCTCAAGACTTTCTTGAGTTCTCAACCAGATTCCATTAACTGTAAATTTTCCCCACCTGGCTAGTGAGAAATGGGCACTACAGTTGGCCCCCAGTGAGTGTTGGCACTGTTCCTTCTAATCCTATCAGACAGTTCTCCAGCTTGGGGAGTTTCCTCATAATCCTGCACATATCCAGAGTTCTTTGCATCCTTCTTTCTACTAAACTGCTCATGAACTCTACACATCTTGGTCTTTCTGACTCTCAGTTCCAGGTTCTCCACTCAAGGAATCAACCTGCAGGGTTGTGCTGTGGCCAGGAAACTCTCTCAACAAAATAAGCTGAGCCGGGTTCTTGTCTGTAATCCTAGCTACTCAGAAGGCAGAGATCGGAAGGATCACAGTTCAAAGCCAGCACAGGCAAATAGTTTGCAAGACCCTATCTCGAAAAACCCTATCACAAAAAATTGGGCTGCTGGAGTGGCTGAAGGTGAAGGCCCTGAGTTCAAGCTCTAGTACCAAGAAAAAAAAAAAAGCCGGGGCAATTGTAAATCTATTTCCTTTCTCTAAGAATCACCGTTCTTCCTTACCTGGGATTAAATATCTTGAAAACCACAGTTTTTGTTGTTTTTCAGGGGGACAGTAAAACCAGCTTCCACTATTCTACACTGACTGCAAGCAGAAGTGCTACATTTGGTAGGTTTATGTTTGCTATTCCAAATTTTTCTTTTTCTTTTGATAGCACTGGGGTTTGAACTCAGGGCTTCACACTTCCGAGGCATGTGCTCTACTGCCTGAGCTATGCCTCCAGCCCTTTTTGCTCTGGTTATTTTGGCGAAGGGTCTGACTTTTTACCCAAGCTAGCCTGGACCACGGGCTATTTTATACTTCTCATCATGGCTGGGATGACAGGTGCATGCCACTGCGCCCAGCTTTTTCCCTCATTGAGGTGAGGTCTCAAAAACTGTTTCTCCTTGGGCAGGCCTTGAACCATGAGCCTCCTGAGTAGCCTGGAGTGCCCATTCACTATTCTCAATTTTAAGGGAGAGGAATTAGACATTTCTCTACATAAATATAAAGTAAAGTTATTTTCTAAAAATTCTTTTCACAGGTATACAGACTTTGACAGTTTTTGTTGTTGTTTTGGTGGGTCTGGGGTTTGAACTCAAGGCTTTGCACTTGCAAAGCTGACAGATTTTTTTCTTATTATTGTAGGTGAGTAGCTTTTATTTTTTGGGGGTCAAACCCAGAACCTCACATATATTCAGCAAGCATTCTACCACTTAGCTATAACCCCATTTCCCATCTTAGTGGCTTTTCATAGAAAAAGATGTCACACCCTCACATCTGAAATATATTTATGAAATAATGTAATCACTGTATACATCTACTGTCTAAAATGTTGTAAGTTTTCTATAATTAAAGTACTCCATAAAATAGAATAGATACTATTCTTTAGTCTATGTAAGTTACTCTTTGCAGTACTGGAGTTTGAACTTGGGGCCTTGTGCTTGCTAGGCAGGCACTCTACCACTTGAACCACTCCCCCAGCAGAGACTATTCTTTAATAGAATAAAAAAAAAATTGCAAGAAGCTAAGAAGAAAGGACTCTTACCTTTTCATTTGCAAGTCAAAAATAATATAGCTCTAATAGATTCATCATTACAAATTCTCCAGGATCCAAATATAGATTCAACTTGATGTAAGCATATAAATAACTATTACAAGATAGCCTAGGTCTGATACTGATGAAGAATGGTAGTCTCAGTTAGGTGTACTGATAGGGTCCCAGCTACTTAGGAGGCTGAGGCACAATTCTTGAGCCCAGAGATTGAGACTGGCCAGGGCACCATAATAAGACCCTATAAGAAAGAAAGAAAAGAGAAGAAACAGAAGGAGGGAGGGAGAAAAGGAGGGTGGGAAAAAGGGGAGAAGAAGGAAGGGAGGGAGGGAGGGAAAAAGGAAGGAAGGAATCTGATGCTACTGAAAATGAGAAAAATTTACTTTTCTTCTTACTTAGATTTCATATCTTGAATACTCAATCATAGTAGCACTCCTTGGGCCAGGAAATAAATTACCAAAATTTTAAATTCAAGGATTAAGGTGGACAGCAGGATGCAGGTAACCAGTGTGAAATTTCAGTTGCACCTTTCTCCTCAATGGTTTATTCCACACTTCAGGAAATCTTTTGCAAACACTGAAATGTTTTCCTTTAAGTTTTATTACTTTTCTCAGAGGTGTTGCAGTGCCAAAACTGCTGCTTGATTCAGATGTACAAAGAATGGCAATATCTTAAATTACAAGCCCAAAATAAATTTGCCCACTTCATGAATCTGTCTCATGTAATTCTAGCTCTGTTGATATCCTGAACCTCAAAATGATCAGTTGGCTTAGGACCAGCATCAGTGTAGATCAGAGTAGTTTAATAAGCTTAAATAAAAGTTTTAATCACTCTTGCAGGGTGTGATGGTACACACCTTTAATTCTAGCACTCGGGAGACTGATAAAGGAAGACTCCAAGTTCAAGGCCTGCCTAGGCTACATAGTGAGACCTTGTCTCAGAAACAAAAAACAAAAAAACCTCACCCTCTCCCAAAAACCCCTAAAAACAAACAATTGTAATCATACTATTTCTGGGTTAATTTTAAAAGTACCAAATACTCTCCATTTCTTTCAAAGCCATCAATAGCACTCTACAATATTAGTTTTTTCTAAAGTTGTTCTTGGTAAAGTTCTCTAAACAAAAGGTTAAAATAGGAAAATGCGAGTAAGTTATACATATTTTCTTAAGCAATTAAATGTTTTGTCTTTATAATCTACTCTTTCTCTTCACATATTTAAGTTTTATTTTTACATAAACATCTAAAAAATTTCCAAGTAAGCTTTGAGGACTCTGGTTTAAAAGAAAGGCAGAAAATCATTGATATATTCAAAAAGCAACTCAATGCACAAGTGATTTTTCTGCAACTTGCAAACTCTTATATTTGATATTCTTTTTTTTCTAGAAGATAATGACAGATTTAAGAATCAAGGTGCCTGGGACCAAATCAGCTACTTCTCTGACTTCTCAGTTTCCTATGTTTATATTTTGTTTTTATCTTCTGCTCCACTCGCCTTCCTTACTTTTGAAATTCTTCAAGCTTGTCACTACTCAACACTTTAACATAACATCTCCTTAGTGGAAATATTAAGGGAATTTTTTATTTTTTTGGTGCACCATTCCTGGAGGTACTGCAATGCCAGGCCAATGCGTGGAGTAGACAGAGTGAGTTCCTATTCCATCTCCCTGTTCCAAAAATCCATTTAATATATTGTCCTCAGATGGAGGACGTATCAGATATTAAACTAAGAACAGATACTACACTTGATCTTAGCCAAAAGGCCAAGAAGCAATGAAGGCAGTATTTTTCTACGGTGCTACAAATGCAAAATTTGAGCACTCAGAAGACTCTTAACTGGGTTTATTTTCTCATATACATAAACAATAGTTTCCAGGCAACTAGAAGTACAAAGTCTCTTTCATTACCAAAGTTAAAGACCCTTAAGGCTGGGTGCCAGCTCATACCTGTAATCTCACACTTATAATCCTAAACAGAGATCAGGAAGATCTCAAGACCAGCCCGGGCAAATAGTTCTTGAGACCCTGTCTTGAAAATGCCCAACACAAAAAAGGGATGGCAAAGTGATCTTGAGTCTAAACCCCAACACTGTCCACCCTCTTCCCCCACCAAAAAAGACACTTAAGTTGTAGTGCAGACTTACGTATTTCTTCCACAACTTGTGGATCACATTCTTTATATTTTTCTACTTCTGCCTTAAGCTGTTCCCTTTTGCTCTGAAGTGAAGAAAGCTCTTTTGCTAGCATGACTCGCTCTTCCTGCATCCAAAATAATTGTGGGAACAATTGAGACAAATGAAATCATATTATGTTATAAGGTCAATACTTTTTTCTTGGTGGTACTGTTGCCCGGGCTGGCTTCAAACTGCAATCCTCCTGATCTCTGCCTCCTGAGTAGCTAGGATTACACGGTGAGCCACTGGCACCCAGCTAAGGTAATACATTTTATAAGCATTTTATTTCTTATAAACAACGTGTGTTAGACTTCTGAATACTGTATTCATACAGTTAGCTTTTGTCTCCATGAATGTTGCATTTGCAGATTTAACCAACAGCAGATCAAAAATATCTCAAAAAAATTGCAAATGTACAGACTTTTTCTTGTCATTATTTCCTAAACAATACAGTGTAACAACTATCTAATAGCACCTACATTGTATCAGGTATTGTAAGTGATCTAGAGATGATTTAAAGTATGTGAGAGGATATGTGTAAGTTTTATGCAAATACTACACCACTTTCTTTTCTTTTTTTGGTGGTACAAAGGTTTGAACTCAGGGCCTCATACTTGAATAGTTATTTTTTGCTTCTGCACAGTATAAAAACAAGCTCAATTATCTTTCTCTGAAATCTCAAGCATCTTTCATATATAATGAATAACTAATGAGTAAATATGTATAATGGAACACTCATAAATACATGAAATATTACCGATTATGCTTGGATGAACCCAAAGATAACTATGTTATCATATATTAGGGAAAGTTATAATGCTTTTCTGGGTAATTTCACAAGATTGTGTTTATGTATGTGATAGTTTATGGCAATATTAATCATACAATTATGCTTAAAAGTGTTCTATACAATATTTCAAACTTAAAGGGTGATTAAATTTTATAAATATTTAAAGTCATCTAAATATGCTGTCAAAAATTATGGTACATAATTATAAGATAAATCTGAGGCAAAATCAAATAAAATTAATGTGTCCTAAATGGGACACATCTAAGGTTCCTTGCTACCTTGTTCATTTATATTTGTGCTTTTCTACTTTTGCCTTTGGATGTTCCTTTCGGTTCCAAAGTGAAGAACATTCCTTTTGCTGGTCTTCATATAGCAGAATGCATATACAGAGCAGCAACAGTCCAACAGAACTCTCTGCAATGACAGCAATGTCCTGGATTGGCACTCTCCAATGTAGGAGCCACTAGTTGCATGTGACTACTGACCACATGAAATGTGGCTATTATGAGTGAGAAACTAAATTCAATCGTATTTGATTTTAATGTAAACAACTGAATGTAGTTCATATATACCACATTAGCACAACCCAGAAGATTCAAGAATAACTAGAATATAAAAAAAAAATGGTCATTATTTGCCATTTACACCCAATGTAATGTGCTCCAAGAGGAAAAAACAAGAGGGGGAGAAAAGCTAATGAAGACAGGACAAATGGAGTGGTAAACACCTGTGTGAATCTAGGGATAACTCTTCAGACACATTGAATTAAAAACATCTTAGTTTCTAGTGCTGAGATCTTGTCAAATTATTTAACCTCTTTGTACTTCTAGTCCCTCAAACATAAAATAGAGATATAACGGTAGCCAGCTTCTTGGATTGTTGGCAGGATTCAATGAATATATACAATATATTTGAAATAGTACTTGCCTTGCTTATAGTAAGTGCAATATATCTGTTATTTCTTCAGCAGCATCACCATCATCACTATGAACAATCCCTAGTAGATGGAGGATAGGTATTTTTGGAAAAAACACTGGTTGGTAAGATTTCATCCTTTTCAGGCGATTTTCTGAATTACCATACCCTTGTGATGGCAAAAGGCTACACCTAGTTTGCTGGTAGGTTTCTCCCCTAGCTGCACTGGTTCCAGTGGATTGAATAACATTCAGTAGACTGGCTGATATTTTCTGGGCATGAATATATCACCACTAGTTAAAGGTACTTCTACAAATTACTGTCAGTGTTAAAGAAAAAAAGAGATCAAATGAAGTGATAATTGCTACTGTTGACTGAAGAAGACAGTATAACAGTTTCAAGTTATGCCAAGAAGTTACCTTCTCTTTATTCTACAGAAATTACCATTTTCTAATTCCTATCTGAGACTGTGCTGACTACTAATGATAGAATGTATGTAAATTAACTTTGCAAGGAAAAAGACACTGAAAGCCTATGATGTAACAACTTTTCAAATCATTTTCTTTCACAATCACATGCTACAAATAGAGCTCAAAGTGGAATGCTTACTGGTTCAAGCTGATCTTCAATATTTAAAAATCTGTTTGCATAAATACATTCTTGAGCTAATGATGAAACAAGAAAAGTGATTTGTAAAAGTCTGTAGTAATAATTTAAAGCACATTGTACTTTTAAAAATAAATTAGGTCAACATTCATTTAAATAATTTAAAAATATTATAATGCCACAAAGATATGTTGATTGTTTTCGGTTTATGTGCCAGAATTAAAAAAAAAAACTCTACAATGTACATAAATATTTAATAGGGCTTACATGTATCAGATCCTCTTCTAAGTGTTTTGCAAATATTAACTAGTTTAATCTACACTATAACCCAACAAAGTAGATTTTATTATTCCCCATTTTACAACTGAGTAAATTGAGAATAGAGAATTTAGGAGATTTTCAAACTCAGGCAGTCTGGCTCTTGGGTTTATGTTATACGTTTTAAATACACAGCATATTAAATATACACATGAATATAGTATTTATAATATTAAAGACTCTACAGACATAAACTTACCGTCTCTTGACGGCCAATTTTAGCTTTCTCAATGCTCTTCTGTAAGTTTGCATGCTTTTGGTTTCCTTCAGACAACTGTAGAATCAAAAACAAATAAAATGGCCTATTAAGACATACTCCTAGTCCTGCAGCGTAGGAAGACAAAATGAAATTGGATGTTGGCCCATGTCTACGTCATAAACAAATGTGAAAGACTACACTGAAAACTCATTTCTCTAGTTTGAAGAAAACCAAGGATGCACATCATTAGATTGAAAACATTAAAAAAAATATTTTCTTCTTAGCCCATGCAGAAAAATAAGTAACATGCCTTCAATCCTTTTCTATATAGTTTTCATTACTCAAATAACCAATATACCCCAAATAACTTAGAAATAGAATTTGAAAGTTCAAAAATATTTGTGCTTCCTATAAATTCTCTCTTCAAATTTCATTTCACTTCTGCTAAAGTCTTTCCAAAATACCCTAGACTGTTTCTTACAGACTTATAGTACTATGACCCATTTCACTAACAGTTAATAATGAATGTATCACTTATTATCCCCCTCAAAATGAAGCTCTTTTTGAGGAATTACAAACTAGGTTCATTAAACTCTTAGAGAAGAAAAAAATCTATTAACCTGCTGCCAACTTTAGTTATGTTTTATGTATCTTAAAGTGGTCAGTTTATTTTACTCAGCTTAGAAAGTAGATAAATTACATGTGGAAATGCACAGTGACATTAGATTTGGAACAGTCACTACCATGTGACTATCCCTATGCCAAAAAGAACTAGTTAATATAGAACACTGCTTCCCCTTCTTAATTTTATTAATCTTATCTATGTCCATGATTAAATAACCACAGGAAATTCTAAACACCCAACTTTCTACCACATCTTTTTCTATAAACTGGTCACAAATTTCACTTCATTTGATTGGGTAAAAATCTTTTAAAAATATATTCCATACTTTCCTCACTCTTGAGTTATAAACATTTAGAAAATAACTAATGCCTAGATGAATTTAATTTCTGTTGGCTAATAAGAAACTGACCTTTTACAATATAATCTAGTTATGGAAAGAGTGTGAATATTTAGATAACTTTTTTGGCTTAAAATTCAGAAATACTATCTTTAAAATTTTGTAGCTTTCCCCTGGCTTTGGGAAATCTCCCACTTCTTAACATGCATAAAGAGAGCATTGTAAACTTTACTTGTTCTCTAGGCACTGATTCTAATACATAGCATGAACAAAAGCTATTGGCTATGCCAGACAGACACCATCACCAAACCAGTTGTACTTCTTGAGAGTAATTATCTTCCTACTTATTTAAAAAAAAAAAAAAAAAGTGGAGTCCAGAGCCAAAATAAGCATTAAGACTCTAAGTTTAGCAAAGAATCTAGTTCTTTATAACAAAGGTTCCCATTTATAAACCAAAGCTATGTTTAAGAAGTTAATAGTCTATCTACCCTGAAAGACCACTTAAAATAATTTTTAAAATGTATGTAACATTTAAATTCATGAGTATTTTTCTGATTAAAACATATACACATATATTAGTACAATGTTTTCCATTAAAAATGTTTAAAAATAATTTGACAGATGTTATCCAAAATGTTAATAATTATATAAAATAAGCCAATAGTTAGGGGATATATATTTTAATTGCATTAATGAATGTCTTTCCGATGCTGAATGTTTGTAATCATTGACAGCCTAAACGCATTAGAAAGAGCTCATTCAATAATTCTTTAATTTTGAAAGTAATCTTAGGTATTTTAAATGTAAAGGACTGCATTCATGAGTTGTCATGCTAAGCATGTGGTAAGAGGGAGCACAATCTAAGTGATGTTATCAAAGGTGAAGCTTCTAATTATCCTAAGTTCTGAAACAGTTTGGTTTGACTCAACCATGAAGGATTCCTGGCTCACTTGTTAGTTCTTAAAACCTCACCACTGGAAACAATGAAAGAAATTCTTGTTAGACTGCCCTTGCTATCAGGTTTTCACCTATACAGCTATTAGAAGCACTACAGCTATAGTTCCTAATATGTACCTTGGAATTAAGCCAAATCCAGGCCTCATGCATAAGAACTAAGATTTTTAACCACTGTACATGTATCATGTAAACCACCGTTCCCAAACTTTGGCATGTATCAGGATAGTCCAAAGGGCTTGATAAGCACAGTTTGCTAGGTCCTACTGGTGTTTCTGAATAAGGACTGTTAGCTTTGCTAGTGCTAGGCAAGGGCTCCTAGACAAGGATTCCCCCTCTAAGCAGTGCTGCCCTAAGAGCTTGCACTGTGACACACTCCCATGTGATGCTAATCCTACTGCTTGCAGATACTACAATTTTGAGAACTACTGACCTAAACATAAACGTTTTCTTGCAGTAACAAACCCAACTAAAACACACATGATATTAATATATGGAAAAATTATCTACTTCATAAGTAAAAATTAATTACTGCTAAATATTGTAGCCTGAAGTCAAAAAATATCTTATTAGCTCTGTACTTAGAAATTCAAAAGTATAAAAATTACAAAAAGGTTGTTTCACACCTCATATTTTAAAAAGGTATTCACCCACCATAGATTCCTTTACAGAACAAACTATCCTGGTATATTTCTATAAGGTAAAACCAAAACCAACTAGATACTGCAACAAATACGTCCCCAAATTTCACTACAGCAAATACTAAAAAATTTAGTAACTCAGAACAAACTGCAGCAGCTGCAACAACGAAAACTACTTACAATTAGTAAAAACGGGATTTCATCTTTAGATTTGAGACCTAACACAATGCTTCCCTTTGAATGTCTTCCCAGCCACCTATTAAGACACTGGGTAGAGAAACATAGTGCTGGTGTTTTGTGAAGGGCTAATTCACTGCCTGAAGGAACTGCCTACTCATAAGAGAAACAGAAAGATTGATTCAAGCTGGCTGCATTGGAATTCTGATTTGCTCTGTTTTTAGAAATAAAGAAATTTCAAAGCAATATGTGAAGAATACAGAGGTTTTCACAGGTGGGAAAGAATGTCAAGAAACAATGAAAAAAGCCAACCCAATTGGTCTGCTACTTTATTAAAATTCATATACTGTATTGTGGAAAAATAGGTCTTGAATCTTTTATGTTTAAAAAATAATTTACATGTTTGTATATTTAAAGCCTTATAAGAGTATCTACAACTTTAAGATGTATATCTTCTCATAAAGGTGATAGTCCATTTAGGAACTGACCACAAAGAAACAATGAATGCTCTGAAGACACAGTTACACATAAAGATGGGAACAATGTAATTGTCTCAATATTAAAGAAATATTAAATCAGTATTCCATAGTACCAATGTGTCACAATTATGAAGCCCCAGGAAATGTGTTGAAACATTTTTTTTGTGTGGTCCTGGGATTTGAATTCAGGGCCTACACCTTGAGCCACTCCATCAGCCTCTTTTTGTGATGGGTTTTTTTCAAGATAGGGTCTCATAAACTATTTGCCTGGGCTTACTTTGAGCCACAATCCTCCTGATCTCTGCCTTGTTAGTAGCTAGAATTACAGACATGAGCCACTGGCACCTGGCTTTGAACAATTTTTAATTACACTGAAAACATCTTGCAGAACAAAGTTGAGTTTTAAAAAAGATGGTAACAAAACTGCAATTCAATGAGAACCTATCTATGACTCAAAAACAAAACACTATAAGAAAATGCACAAAATTAAACAATGATTATCTCTATTGTGGAACATACTTTTAAACAAAGTTTTCTGTATAACAAGGATATGTATTATTTTAATTTTTCATTTTCCTATTATAAGTAATATATGAATGTATTCTCAAAACATTCTTGTGGTTTTTGTTTTATTTTGTTTTTGTTTGAATTCAGGGCTTTCCACTTGCTAGGCAGGGGCTCTACCACTTAAGCCACACCCTCCAGCCCTACATTCTCATTTTAAAAGAATGCAAGAGCATTTAAACAAAATCCCCTTTGCCTCTCTGCTCCTACACTATTTCCACAAGCCCTTCCAGAACTGACCCCTGAAAAAACCTAATGTACATCTTCTTGTCCTATTCTTTTATTTTGAACCCATTCAGACACTGGTAACATTTCAAAACACACGTGGGGTTATCCTTAATGTAATGCCTTGCAATTTACTGTTTTCAGAGAAATTTCCATGTGGGCATAGATAGATCTACATCTATCTATCTAGGCTCACAGCAAAATTGGACAGAAGATATACAGATTTCCCATATAACCCAATCCTACACATACAGAGCCTCCTTCACTATCTAAATCTCATTCCAAAAAGTACATTTGTTGTAACTTTATGAGCCTATACTGACAACATTATCCAAAGTCCACAGTTTACAATGGAGTTCATTTGATGGATTTTGAGAAATGTATGAATTATGATATCATACAGAATATTTCACTGCCCTGAAAATCTTCTGTGCTCCATTTATTCATCTTTCTCTCCCCTCAACCCCTGGCAACCACTGACCCTTTTATTGTTACATAGTTTTGCCTCTTCCAGAATGTCATAATTGAAATCACAGATTATGGAGCCTTTTCAGACTGAGTTCTTTCACTTAGCAACATGCATTTCAGGTTCCTCTGTATTTTTTATGACTTGATAGCTAGTTTCTCTGTAACATAGAACAATATTCTACACATGGATAGCCCAGTTTGATTACTCACTGAGCTGTTGAAGATCATCTTGGTTGCTTCCAAGTTTTGGCAATTATGAATAAAGCTGCTATAAGCATTTGTGTGTAGGTTTTGAGTAGACTGTTTTTCACTTACTTGGGTAAATGCCAAGGAGAGTAACTATTGGGTCACAATAGTAAGAGCATGTTTAATTTTTATAAGAACTGTCCAACTGTTCCAATTTTGCATTCCCAACAGCAAAGAGTGGACAGTTCCTTTGCTCCACTTCCTCCCAGCACTTGATGCCGTTAGTGGCCATTCTTTCCCCTCAGAACTTCATGCTTGAAAGCAGGTGCTTTACCACTTGAATCACACCTCCACTCCCTTCTGGAGATGGGGTCTCAAACTATTTGCCTGGGCTGGCCTAAAACTGTGATCCTCCTGATCTCAACCTCCCAAGTAGCTAGGATTACAGGTGTGAGTCACTGGCACCTGGCTACATTCCTCTCTTAATAGCTATTTTGTTTTTGCCCTGTTTTTCACTATTCCAACACCCCTGTCATTTGACAATTATTTCTGTGCACATGCAGAAGTATTTCTATAAGGTAGATCAGAAGTAGCTCACTAGAGAACTAGTTTTTTTTTAAGTTTTTAATAGTAAAAAATACATATAAAGTTTATCATTTAGTGTTTTATTCAGCAGTATTAAATACATTTACACTATTAATGTAACCATCACCACCATCCATTTGCAGAACTTTTCATCATTCCAAACAGAACAGCAGATAAATAACAACAGCATCCTATTCTCCCTTCCCTGCATCCCAGGTAACCACTATTTTACTACTTGTCTCTACATCTTCACCTATTCTAAATACCTTGTATAAGTAGAATCACACAATATTTGTCCTTTTGTGTCTGGCTTATTTCACTTAGCATGTTTCAAAGTTCATCCATAGTGCAGTATGTATCAGAACTCCATTTCTTTTTAAGGCTGAATAATACTGCATTGCAAGTATATAGCAAAGCAATGCACAAGGGTTCCAATTTCTCCGTGCCCTCACCAACACTTATTTTTTTCTTGTAATAATAGCTATCCCAATGGGTGTGAAGTAAACAGGTAACTTTTAATCTCCTCATTTTATCCTTCACCAGCAGTGAATAATTGGCTCACTCCTTGCAAGTTTCCTAAAAGTTGATACTGGTAATAATTTAAAAGTTTGTTAATCTGATGGCTAAAAAATGACATTTCATTATTGTCTTAAGTTTTATTTCTTTGATTATTGAGACTTGGCATCTTTTCATATATCTATGGATCATGTGTATTTCTTTTCTCCCTGTGGTGCTGGGGATTGAACCAGGATCTCAAGCATGCCAAGCAAGCACTCCACCACTAAACTACACCTCCAGCCCCGTGTGTATGTATATATATACACACACTAGCTAGGCAGGCACTGTAACCACTTGAGCCATTCCACCAGCCCTTGTGTACTCTTTAATGACTTCTTTCATAATACTCTTTTTTTTTTTCACTGTTGTGCTAGGTGGGACACACTGTAGCATTTACAAAGGTTCTTATGATGTATCAAATGTACTTGAATTCACCCTCTCCAACGCTCTTAATAATATTCTTTGATAATTATTCTATAGAAGTGTTTATTCTTCTCTCATATACTTTTTAGGAACTACTTATACATAATAAATGGTAATAACTCATGATATATAGAGAACCATGTGTCTGTAGTAAATGGTAATAATTTGTTATATATGTAAATTTTTAATGCTATACTTCAATACATGGTTTCTTTGGCAAATGCATCACTTTTTTCATGTATAACTTCTAGGTTTTACACATTTTTGCTTAGAAAAGCCTTTTAGTCTAATATTGCACTGATTCCTCCTCTTGCTTGTAGGGTATTCTATCTGATGTTTTGCTCTTTAAAAGACCTGTGTTTTATTTTGGAGGTGTTGTAAGACAGGGCTCTAAGAATTTATTTCGATGGATATCCCATTATTGGTACAACTTACTGAACAATATGTCTTTTGCCTGCTGAACTGATGAAGTATGGCATCTTTATCATAAAGTAAGTAAATATACATAGGCTGCTTATGGTTTCTCTATACTCTTCTACTTAATTGCCTATTCCTATACCAACATCAAGTTTTAATTAGTGCTTTTCCGTGCCGCTGCCGAAGGTCTTGCTGTGCGGCGCCAGCCATGTGGTCAGTGTGGCAGCGCCTGCGGCCCAGTGGCCGGGCCCATGGAGGTACAACAAAATCTGTGTTGTGAAGATGTTGAAACAATGCTGTCTAAAAATCTGTTAAAGAAGATGATTGAAGAAAACTACAAGGACCACAAAGAAGGTACCAAGAAATGCAGGTAACTGCAGATGAGTGTCTCAACCAAGTCCATTAGCTGTGATGTTTTTCAAAGTCCTTTGTCACCTCAAGTAATTAGAACTTCTCGAGAAATCACATCTGTTGCTCACTCAGAAGCAATGTTATTGGATAATAACTCCAAAGGGTTGGGTCCAGTTCTTTTGAAGTTGCCTTTATCTCTTAAGGGGTGTGATATGCAACATTTGGAAGGAAAAAATGAATTGGTCAAGAAAACAGGAGCAGAAGCAAATGATGAAATTTAATATTTCATGTTGATAAACTAAATAAATTATGCTAACAGTAAAAAAAAAAGTTTTAATTAGTATAGCATTGTATTTGCTTTGTTATCTGATAGGCAAAATCTCACCTCTTTGTTTCTCCTTTTTAATATTTTTTTTGTTCTTTCTTACAGCTTACCCATCACATGAACTCATGAACTTCCCATAAATATTTAGTGGGATTCTGGTTGCAATTACATTAGTTAAACAGACATTCACTGATGTTTCTATAATTGAGTTTCCTCATTCATGGATATTTGCTCCAAAAATTTATGAGTTTTTCTGGGTCCTTCAGTAGTGTTTTACAGTTTTTTTTTTTTTTCCCCATGCATATCTTGCTCATTTCTTCCTAGGATTTAATTTTGTTTTGGGTGCTACTAAGAGATAGGATTTGACTGCAAATACTCTTAAGATTTGTGGTAAATTGAAGTGTTACAGATTTTCAAAAAGTAAATACATGTAGCTTTAAGTAAATGTAAAATTTAAGATTTAGCTTGTTTTGTATCTAATATAAAATTAAGCTGTTATTCAAAAAGTTAAAATGGAGGCAAATTATGGTTATAAATATAAATTATGAAGAGGCCCCATATCTGAACTTGATACAATGTGGGCCTGTAAGATTGACCATGCCCCTGGGTCAAATACGAACTACAATTTAAACAAAAAAGAGCATCCAACTAACAAGGTTATTTTTGTGATATTTTTAAGTATATAGAACAGTTAGAGATGTTATTAATAGTTAAATATTAAAATTTATAAAATGTTGATATACTTTTGGGGGACAAAACAGTTCAAACAACTTGAAATTAAGGGTATCTTAGGAAGTTAATGATAACATATAATTTTGACAATGCCACCACCTGGTGGCATAGCATTATTGAAGATCTAGTTTTTTATGGAGCAAAGCTTTTCCATATTGGTTGATTTGCAAGGGGAATATATCTTTGTAGAAACTTGTGTCTCCTATTAAATACAGAAAAGTGTTTGGGGGATGCAATAGGGATTCTATATCTAGTCTAGAGTCAGCATTTTCAACCTCATCCACCATGAACTTCTGATAATAAAGGAGAGTACTTTCTAGTGGAAGTTCAGAAGCCTAGTCCAAAGCTACCAATCACAAGAGCATAATAAATAAACAGACAAAAAACATCTCAGATATCTTGAAAGTTTTCTTTTAAGAAAACTCATGCAAAGTTTTACAGTTGTAATATTAACTGTTTTTTATTATTTTAAATTGCTTACAAATAAAAATACTTTATATACTTCTGTCTCCTACCTCCAATCTTTGACTCACTCAATCTCAACAAGTGTATATTTAATTCTTGATTAGGTCAATGGAGAGAAGTAATAAGAGCATTCTATTTAAAGGTATGAACTTCTTTTTGTTGGTGGGAGTAGGGGAAAGCAGGACACAGTTTTGCTGTATTGCCCAAGCTGGGCCTGAAGTCCTGGGTCCAAGTAGTCTTCCTGCCTCAGTTCCTCAGTAGCTGGGACGACAGTCCTAAACCACTATGTCCAGCTAAAAGGCATGAGTTTTAAATGTACAGATATATTTGGCAGACCCAGTTAGTTGCCCCTCCAAAGCCTTTCTTTCTTTCTCAGCAGAACTCTAATTTTTGTTCAAATTAGAGTGGCAATGTGCTCAGAAAGAATGGACCCCTTTCCAGAACATGAGCTGTGTTATCTTGGTTCCTTCCAGTGAGAGCATGTAACTCACAACTGCCCAAAAAGACATAAAGGGAAGCCTATGGGGAGAGGGGGTATGGTAGGATTTTCCTCCTAGATTAAAAAAAAAAAGAGAGAGAGAGACGTATAAGAAGAAAGTCCATCTTTCTTCCTGCTTTGGATATTGTAATGGGAGGATACAGTAGCTGCAGTAACTACTTGTATATAAACAGCAAGAACTAAGAATTATCAGAAAAGCCAGTCTGGATCTCTGATATCAATGCATGGAGGGATTAACCAATCTTGAACAAGCCTCCATCCAAATTTCTTTGTATATCAGACAGTGAATTTCTATTACTGAAGCCAATTTGGATCTATTTTCCTCTTATTTGTGGGTAAAAACATCCTGATTCATAATATAAAAAAGAAAGAACATATATAAGAATGTGAATAGTATTTCACATTAAGTGGTAAGTTTACATGCAATTTACTTTTGTTCTTTTTTTCTTATGAACTATGGTGAATAACTTGTAAGAAATGCAAATGTCAATATTTTAAAATATCAGAACAAATTTTTTCAAGCTATTGTGGCTTAAAAAGTTCTCACTTGCAAATGTCATGTTAGAGATACAGGTCTGAAGTAAGCTAAATGGGCAGAGAAAACAGATGTGTAATCTGTGATGCAGATACTATACATACACTAACAAAAAGTTGACTTAAATAGGGAGCTGTTAAGGATAAGGACTA